TCTTAATATTTGAACCAGCACCCCGCATTTTCATCTTGCTCTGGGCTATACTAATTATGTAGTCGGTTCTGCCGGTCACCCACCTCTCATGGTCAGGTAACTTACTGTCATTTTCCCTGTGACATTTATTGAGACCTTAGGATTCTGTGGTTTCTGGGTTATCCAGCCTGGAAAATCTGAAATCATTAAAACAACCAAACAAAATATTTCCCTCCTGTTTGCCCTTTAAATAGTTTTTCGAGTCTTATAGATTCTTTAGTTAATTAGTTGAAGTTGTTTTCACTGTCACCACCCAAAATCAAATTTTCATTACTTCTTGCCTTTCCTAGTTGATCTGCTGGAAATATTTTTCTCCAATAGCATTTAGTTCTTAACCTACAAGTGGTTTTCAGTATTGTTATTGTTTCAAATACAAACTTCCAAACCTGTTTGTCTATTTTTTTTTTTAATCAGCCTCATTTTATGTTACTTCTGCCAAGCAAATACGCTCATAAAGTCTGTGCTGTTTCCACCTTTGCACCTTCCCAGGAGAATTTCTTTCTTTCTTTTTTTTCTAAAGATTTTTATTTATTTATTGAGAGAGAGAATGGTAGAGAGAGAGAATGGTAGAAAGAGAGCATGAGAGGGAGGAAGGTCAGAGGGAGAAGCAGATCCCTGCTGAGCTGAGCAGGGAGCCCGATGCGGGACTCGATCCCGGGACTCCAGGATCATGACCTGAGCCGAAGGCAGTCGCTTAACCAACTGAGCCACCCAGGCGCCCCCCAGGAGAATTTCTCATCTGGGGGAAACTTTGTCTCTATCAGTGGACTCCCTTATCACCCAGTGGTGCCACTTCCAGGAATCTAGCTGGGACCTATATGCTAAATTCTAGCCTTAAGATTTATGTTCAGCATTGCAATTAGTGATAATAGTAAAACACTGGAAACAAATAGGCCCAATATACTACAGTACAGGAGGACATTGATTATATAAATTACGGTCCATATGGTAGACACAGACATATCATTAGAATGATGCAGTCTTCTATTTTTATGCCATGGGAAACCGTGCAAGTTTCGTTGGTAGGTTTTTAATTTTAATTTTATTATTATTATTTTTAAGATTTTATTTGACAGAGAGAGACACAGCGAGAGAGAGAGAGCACAAGCAGGGGGAGTGGGAGAGGGAGAAGTAGGCTTCCCGCCGAGCAGGGAGCCCGATGCAGGGCTCGATCGCAGGACTCGGGGATCACGACCCGAGCCGAAGGCAGACGCCCAACAACTGAGGCACCCAGGTGCCCCGGTAGGTTTTTGTAAAAAGATGGTCAGTTCTTCTGGTGGCATGTTGTAATGGATGCAAAAATAATATGGTTTCAGTTCTCCATTAAAAAGGTCTAAAAAGGGGCATCTGGGTGGCTCAGTCGTTAAGCATCTGCCTTCAGCTCAGGTCATGATCCCGGGGTTCTGGGATCGAGCCCCACATCGGGCTCCCTGCTTGGCGGGAAGCCTGCTTCTCCCTCTCCCACTCCCCTGCTTGTGTTCCCTCTCTCTCTGTGTCTCTCTCTCTCTCAAATAAATAAATAAAATATTTAAAACAAAAGGTCTAAAAAATCCAGGTTCATCATGTCATTAAACAAATAATAAAATGGGTAAGGCCTTGCATGAACTAATGACAAAGGTATAGTATGATCAAAGCATGACCTGAGCCACCCGGGCACCCCTATAATACTTTTTAAATGTATATGAGCATTTATATCTTAGGATATACTATGTGTTCCCTTAAAAGAAAATAGCTTTTCTTTTAAAATAATTATAATTAAGTCATTTTGAGAAACTCTATTGACCTTCCCTGTCTGATTTTGAAATTTGGCATGTTGCTTGGTGACATTTTGTAAAGTGCTTTTCATTTGGGCAGCTTATGCTTTTCCCAGCTACACGTGAAGCCACTTAAAGCCACAAAGAGCTTTTCTACCTTTTGCACCCATTTTGGGACCTGTTCTAGTGATTGCTAAGTAAACATCAGCTAGTTGACTTTCTATCTGACCTGCCTCTGGCTGTTTCCTGCTCATTAGCATCTCCACTAGAGGGCGGACTAGGCTAGAGAGGAGAGAGCACATTTTTCCTTTTCTGGCTAACCCTGTCCTCCCTCTCCCCCACCCCACCTTCCAGCCTGGCGACTGCACAAAGCTCCTGGGACGTGTGTCCAGCTCTGGGCTACACAACGGAAAGTTCTGTCTTCTGAAGTGACTGATGACACGTGTTTATATATTATCTTCTTGTAGCACGCTGTGTAGAAGGAAAGGGGGAAGTATGCTAATTTACCCAGGACTTCAGATCTGTTGACTGTAAAGCAACTGAGTAATTATGGGATTTCTAATACTCTCATGGCCTGTGTCCTTGAGAACCAGATTTTTTTTTTTTTTTGTGGCAGATAGGAGGTACAGATGTGATACAGAAGAAGTTAAAAACCCTTTAGCCAGGAATTTGAGTAGGAGCTATCAGTATGAACTCTTGAGGTGATTTACTATCCCTATCCATTGAAAAGATCTAGAAACAATGGAGCAATCTTATAGCAATGTACACTCCTACCCCTTAGATCTTAAAATACCATTTCCCATGGAAAGCAACCAGAGTTTGAAGAAATGGCTGATTCCAGGTCTGGGGCAGGAAATGTACAAGCTGAACCTGAACAACTCATCAGATAGCAAGAAGCCAGCAAACACTATCAGGGTAATGTCAAAAGGACTCAGAAGCCAAGTTCTCAGGCGAAAGTTGGGACAATTTGAGCATTAAAAGGATAATTTAATAAACATTAAGTATGTTTAAATCCATGAGTTCATAATGGGGTGTGAGTGTGTAAGTAACTAATTGTTCATCCTTTTGCAGGATGATAGGAAACCAAATCATTACAGTAAAGATGGTAAATATAGGAAAAGAACCCATTATCTTGCTGTTTTTCTTTCTTTCTTTTTTTTTCTAAAGATTTTATTTGACAGACACAGCGAGAGAGGGAACACAAGCAGGGGGAGTGGGAGAGGGAGAGGGAGAAGCAGGCCTCCCACGGAGCAGGGAGCCTGATGTGGCACTCGATCCGAGGACCCTGGGACCATGACCTGAGCTGAAGGCAGTTGCCCAATGACTGAGCCACCCAGGCGCCCAAGCAAATGAAATTCTTAAAAATGGGCAAAGCTGAACTATAATGGCCAAAGATCCACATTTGGATGATAAAACTACAAAAATAAAGGACATTATCAGGCACCATAACATCCATTTATGCCAGGAAGGAGGGGCTGTGATAAAGATGAAGAACCCAGCGAGGGGGTGGGGGAACTTTGGGTGTCTGCAAAGTTCTCTTTCTCTGGGTGATGGTTTAAAGGGTGTTCACTTTCTGTTAAGAGTTTATTAAACTATACCTTTGTTTTTCATGGTTTTCTGTACCTGTGTTTTATTTTAAAATAAAAAGGTTGGGGACGGCTGGCTGGCTCAGAAGAGTACGCAACTCTTGATCTCAGGGTTGAGTTCAGGCCCCACATTGGGTATAGAAATTACTTAAATAAATAAAAATAAAATAAAAAGGTTAAAATGTGTTAACTATATTTTATCATGTGTCTGCAGCTGCAGGGCACGCAGCCCAATTTTATTCTAGTCATCAAAATCATTTTTAAGGCTCATACCTTCACATCACTGAGCATTTAGATACCAGGAGGGGCCTGGATCCCCAGTTCCCCACCTCTTTCCTGGAGGGACTTATTTCCAAACCTATTTTTTTCTCCCCTAAATTTTATTTACATTGTTCATTTCCTTCTTAATCTGTAGAGTCAGGAATATATGATATAGGCTTCTAGGGCCTCCTCTAATCAATATAGAGTGGAAAGGTGAGAGGAGCTAGCATATAGTCAGTCAGTGGCATAGTTCTGAGTGACCCTTTTAATCCCCCTAACAACACTGGGGTGCAGGCACATCCCCATTTTACAGAAGAAGACACTCAGAGGCACCCCGGGCCTGACACTGTGTGCCTAACATCAGTGCTATGCTGCCTCTGACCCTATTCTCAGTTATCACATGCTGTTCATGAAGCTGAGGATTTGGCTATATATTTTTAAGTATAACAGACTCCATTGCTAACTGTGTTTTAGCACTTGATCCCCTCTGACCTTAGATTCTTTTCTGCCTACACGTTGTAGCTGGTTATTGGCTGTTTTCTATGAACCACTTGGTGTTTCCTCCTCCAGTGTTTTGTTTTCAGGCAATTCCCAGTAATTCCATCTTGGTGAAGTTTATTCTCATTTTCTGGGTACAGACTTCCATCTTACCAAGCTCAGTTTATACATTCACTCATCCTGATTTGGATCAGAGGCGAAGCTTTCCCTCATCTGATGGCCCTGATTTATGGAGGATCATCACTCTCTGTGGTATCCCTCTAAAGCTGATTTCTGAGGATTTAGGCCAAGGCCTTGCCACTTAAACTATGGTCCCCGGACCAGCAGCATCAGAATCAATTAGGAGCTTGTAAGAGGAACAGAATCTTCCAGCCACCCCAGACTTGCTGAACGAACATTTTATCAAGATCCCCAGGGGATTCATATGCACTTGAAAGTTTGAGAAGCATGGAATAGGGGCCATCTAAAGTCCTTATAGTTCTACAAGTCTATGCTGCTAAGAGAGATGTCTATGCAGTTACCGTGTACCCTTGGCTCTACTGTTTGCTCTGTGGGCTTGGGCAATTACTTGACCTCTCTGTGCCTTTGTTTCTTCACCTGTAATATGGCACTTGCTTCAAAGCATTGTTTTGTAACCTGCTCAGAATAGTACCTGGCACAGAGAAGGCACTATAAAAGTGTTAGCTGTCTTAATATTGAGTGAGCTTCCACGGATGCTTTGAGAGTCCCAATTTCAGGTCAGGCAGGAGGAAGAACAGGTTTGACAACTGACAATGGAATTGCTTCACTGGGGAATGGGGTTCTAGAGGCTTCTGTGTGTCCAAGTGGGAGATCGGGAATTTTAGGCCTGGAAGCTACACTGAGCAGCTCGCAGAAGCTCCCATCTTTTTAAGACCTCGGGACACAAAGTCGATGCACCTTCTCCCAGAAATTCCTACTTCTATGGCCCAGTGGCAGAGCTGCCTGTGAGTGAGATCCTGGCTACCACCAGGCTGTGCCAGGCCAGGCTGCACTGGGGCGCTGGCTGCCTGGAGGGCTGCAAGAAGACTGTGAAATTGTTGTTAGAAGCCCATGAAGACAGGCGGGAATGAAAACAGCACGAAAGTTGTGGAAAATAAATGACCGTCTCTTATTATTGGACTGAGGGTCAGAGAAGGTCTGTGGCCTGGTCTCATGGCACCCAGATGTTGGTTGTATCAAATCGCTCCTATTTTCTGCAAGCCTGGTGGCTCTCCTATCCCTAGATGGGGGCTGGGAAGGGATGGGGGTCGCCGTGCTCTCTTGCTAGCCTGGAGCCTCAGGTCACATTCTGCGCACACGTCCCTCCAGGGCCTCCAGTTCAGCCAACACCTCCTTGGGTAGATCCTGATTGACCTGCTCGGTCAGGTAGCTCCGAATATCACGAACCTCCTGTTCCCAGAAGTCCTTGGGGAGCGAGAACAGCTGGGTTGTGTCTATGGCTCCCAGGCCGCTGAGATCCAAGGCGCCTTCCTTCGGCACCAGCCCGATGGGTGTCTCTCGGGCACTGTCCTCGCCTTCTAGCCGCCGGCAGATCCAGTCTAGCACCCGAGCATTCTCTCCAAAGCCTGGCCACAGGAAGCGGCCCGCCTCGTCCCGCCGGAACCAGTTGACATGGAAGATGCGGGGCAGCCGGGCCCCCTTGCGCTCCTCCATGCTCAGCCAGTGTTCTAGGTAGTGCCCGAAGTTGTAGCCAAAAAAGGGCCGCATGGCAAATGGGTCGTGCATGATGATCTTCCCTGGGGAGGGGAGCAGGATGGATAAGGCCTCTTCCTCCTTACTGGAGAAGAGAAGGGCACCCTGCCACCGGCTGGAGGGAGTGGTGAAATTTTGGTGGTTCTGGAATCTTCCTCAGATTAGGGTGAAGAGAAGGGACTGGGAAAAGAGACACGTGGGGAGCGCAGGCAGGAGGAAGGCCCGGCTTAGCGGGGGAGAGAAGCAGCGATGTGGGCACACAGGAGAGGGGCACAGGGAGGGCACTCACCTTTGTGTTCAGCCGCAGCAGTGGACTCAGAGCGCATAGCACTGCCCACAAACACCCCGTGGCGCCAGTTGAAGGCCTCATATACCAGGGGTACTCCTAGAACACGGGTGAACAGGGTCACAGGCAGCTTTTTTCTTTGGACCCTCACTCCATCCCTTCTGGTGATCTTGACTCCTGGTCTCGCTCTCCTGGGATCTCCGCTATCCCATTTTCAAACCGTATGCCTCCCCATAGTTTTGCATTCTCCAGGGGACAGCTCTAGGGACAGAGAGCTACAGTGGCAATCCAGGCTGAGGCTTTAAGTACAAGAGGGGGTGGGCCCTGAGACAGAGCCAGACCCTTTACTGAGGAGGCATAGAGCCCACATGGTGCTTACCTTTGGGTCTGCGGCCTCCAAAGATGATGGCATCAATGGGGACACCCTCAGGGGCCTCCCAGGCTGGGTCCATGATGGGGCACTGGCGAGCCGGGGCACAAAAGCGAGAGTTGGGATGTGCACAGGGCTCCTTGTCTCCTGGCAGGGACAATACAACTACTATCACTTCCAGGGACTTGTCCACCCCCAATACAAACATACTTTGGCACACACTCTTGCACAATTTCTGTTTGCATCATCAACGCCCTGCAACCTCGTGTGGTAAGGAGCAGGGAGAAGGGAGCCAGGACATCTCCCCCAGAAGATTGGTTATTTATCTAAACAGTGCTGCCAGCTGAGCTATGTGAGAAAGAGTGGGCAAGGCACGGGGGTTTAGCAAGACCCTACCGTCTGTGCCAAGCTATAGCCACTTGGCATTGACCAGTGCTCAAGAGAAGGGGCTTAGCTATTGGCATAAGGTTAGAGCAGTAAATTTATCCCAGAAGTGCTTTCTTTATTTATGGGATTATTATTTAAGCAAACACTCAAACCTAAAGCAAAAACTGAGACCGTCAGATCAGTATTTCAGACAATTGACTTTCCATCAGCAAATAGGAGAAGACGGGATCTTCTGAGGTATCAGAATGTAAACAGGAATTGATTTGGAAGCTAGCAGAATTTTGGTGATTTCCCTGGGTCTGCTCAGACGCAGATGGAGTAATAGGGCTGGAGGAAGTCAGACATAACCTGGGCAGGCATAACCTGAGGAGCGTAGGTCATGTGGCCCTGTCAGGTGCTTGGAGAAGGAATGGGACCAAATCAGTGGCATATGTACAAAGCATCACCATGGGGGCCCTGAAGCGACATGGTGTCTTCTCTGCTGGAGGTTGTTGGTCGGACCTGGCGGGGTTGGGGGGCAAGGGAGTTCTAGAGCCAGTCCCCCCCTCCCACCCCTGTGTCCCCTTCCCCACCCCCAGCTCCTGCCTCCACCTGCATATAAGAGCCTCGTGCCCTTCCATCAGCCCCCAGTTCAGGTCCCTGCACAGGGTATTATTCCCAGAATTGCAGCTAGGCACAACACGCCCTAGTTATACCTGTGAAGCTAGAGATGACGAAAGGGTTGGGGAATGAGCCTGTGGGGAAGTAGGAAGATTTCTTGAGTTTCTCAAGGGTGGGGAGGCCATGGAGGGCTTAATGACGGTGGTGGAGACAGTGAGGGGTGATTCGATAAGGAGGGAGCATGCTGGGCCAGACCGGAAAACGTGAATGTAGGCTTCAGCGACCACAAGCATGCCGTCCCCAGCATGCCCTTCTTTGCTCCCATCCCTAGGTCTCTGGGCTCTCCGACTGCAGAAGGTCCAGAGGGCAGGGGTGGGGGAGGAGCAGGACTGCTAAGTGCCAGGGGCAATGACAGGGTTGAGAAAGAGGCTAAAGAGAGAGACACAGCGAGAGACGGAACACAAGCAGGGGGAGTGGGAGAGGGAGAAGCAGGCTTCAAAATCTTTAAAAAAAAAAAGAAGAGGCTAAAAAGCTGGTCTGATTTCCCCTGGAAGGCGGATTGGGGTGTGCATGTTAGAGGGACGGGGAAGGGTCTTTTTTAAAGATTTATTTATTATTTTAGAGTGGGGGCAGAGGGAGAGAGAGAGAGAATCTCAAGCAGACTCCCCGCCAAGCACCAGCACGGAGCCAACAGGGGGCTTGATCTCACAATCCTGAGATCATGACCTGAGCAGAGATCAAGAGTCAGCTGCTCAACCGGCAGAGCCACCCAGGCATCCCAACACTGACCTTTACACAATGGTTATTATAGAGGGGATGGTGGGAGCCAAGTAGCAGGGGGAGGGGCAGGCTTCCTCCTTCCTAATGGGTCAAACTTTATAGACTGAGCTTGGAGCCTAATTCCTTGTGTAAAAATTTTCAAAACAGTCCTTGCCTTTCCTTTTTAAAAAAAATTCCAGCTGATTTTTATTGAGAATTTGCTATGTATTCAGCACCGCGCTAAACTCTTTGCACGCATTATTTAGCCTTCCAGCAGCCTTATGAGATAGGTACATTGGTAACCACCTCTATTTAACTGATGGGGTCACTGAAGCTCAGGAGGGTAAGCAACTTAGGTCCCAAAGCCAGTACTTGGTGGAGATGGGACTTGACCTGAGATCTTGTTTGGGGTTGGAAACTGGGACTATTCATAACTTCCTGGGCCTCCCAGAGGTCCTGGAGGATGGCTGCAGGTTGTGGAGAAGGCTTTTACGTCATCAAGGTGCTGAGCCCGGAGGGGCTGTGTCACAACTCCCCCAACACCACATACCGGGTTTCCAGGGTTTGCCCAGCCAGGAGGTCACGGTGACACCAGGCGGAAGAGGCTGGTCAATGCCCTCCCAGTACACTCCACCATCGCTGGTCTCAGCCACATTGGTGAAAAGAGTGTTACTCTGGATTGTGGCCATGGCATTGGGATTGGTGGTGGCAGAGGTGCCAGGGGCCACCCCGAAGAAGCCATTCTCAGGGTTGATGGCCCGGAGTCGACCTGTTAGGAGAAGTGACAAAAAAGAAGGGCCAACCCGGAGAAGTTGAGAGGTGTGGCCATGGATAGTTCTGCTCTGCTCCTCCTTGCCCTGAGCTGGCCCCCAGATCTGATGGGGAAAGCCTTTCTGTCTCTGGGGTGGCTGGACTACCAGGAGGTATGGGGCAGGTCCGCCAGGAGCAGTGGAGGGGAGACTCCTATGCTCTGGTAAGAGCCAGAACCGAGAGTATGATGCAAGGGCCTCTCACCATCACTGTCAAACCTCATCCAGGCAATGTCATCCCCAACACACTCCACTTTCCAGCCCGGCAGTGCTGGCCGCATCATGGCCAGGTTAGTCTTGCCACAGGCACTGGGGAAGGCGGCCGCCACGTAGCGCTTCTTCCCCGCGGGGTTTGTGATACCCAGGATCTGTGTGTTGAGGAGAGAGGGAACAAGGAGGAGTCACCAAAGGTCAGTTATGGTCTGCACAGAAAGGACAGCTAGGAGTTAACAGGGAGGACAAATGTTTATTCGTGAAACAGGTGCCAACACCTCACCACAGGGCTCGGCTGGCGGCAAGTCAAAGCCCCCTCAATGTTCAGCAGCCTGGGGCCAAGGCTTCGGTCACTGGGGCAGAGTCCCTGCCCACCAGCCTGGCCCCTGGCAGTGGGGAGGTGAGGCTAAGGCTGCCGGCCAGGCCCCGCCCTCGCCCTGCTCCCCACAGCTGCCCAGATCCTCACCAGGCCCTCACCAGCATGTGCTCCGCCAGCCAGCCCTCATCCCGGGCCAGCCGAGAGGCGATGCGAAGGGCAAAGCATTTCTTGCCCAGCAAGGAGTTGCCACCATAGCCGCTGCCGAAGGAGACGATCTCCCGCTGGTCAGGCACGTGGCCAATCAGCGTTTTCTCTGGGTTGCATGGCCACTGGCTCACCGGCTCCCCTGGGGACAATGGGGTCATAGGGCTGACTGCTGGCAGGGGCATCAGGAACTGGGGCGTTAGGGGCTGGAGGGATCGGGCTTGGCGGGAGAGACACTTCGGAGCAGTGGCGGTGCCAATGAGTGGCTAAGGCCCCCCACCTCATACTATCCATCAGCTCCCATGTCCCTCTTCTGGGACACGGACGGATGACTTTTCTCAATCTTGTGCAAACTGGTCTGCCGACACGGCATCACCCCCAGCCCAGACTGCTGCCCTAGATTTTGGGACTTAGGTGTTTCACTAATGAGGATGGGTGGAATTTGGGGTTCCCTCTGTGTGCAAACAGGTCTGTGTTCTCCCCTAGGTGCGGCAAGCACTCACCTTGCCCGGCCAGGGGCTGGCCCACAGAGTGCAAACACTTGACAAAGTTGCCATCTCCCAGGGCCTGGAGCACGGGCGTCCCCAACCGGGTCATGATACGCATGCTTGCTACCACGTAGGCTGAGTCAGTGAGCTGCACTCCGATGCGGGACAGTGGGGAGCCCACGGGACCCATGCTGAACGGAAGCACATACATGGTTCGGCCTGTGGAGGAAAATGCTACCTGGATGGAGGGTTCTAACCTGTTCATACCTTCGGCGTCCCTGGTTCTGTGTCCCTGCCCCGGTTACCCTGCATGCAGCCCGGAAACCTCTCATCCACAGCTTGCTGGAACTCAGCTGGGGACATCCAGTTGCCTAGTTGCCCACGGGCCCCACCAGCGGGGAGGGGCACTGTGTCCCGTTGAGAAGGAGTTACAATCACCGTCTTGCTCTCTACTCGTGCCACATCCTTGGGGTCTGTGCGGGCCAGCCAGCTGGGGGAGAAGGAGTTATCAGGAAGATGTGGCCAGCCAATCTCCCTCATCCGCCAACCCAATCTCTCAAGTCCAACTTTGACTCTAGGTCTTCTGTGGGCCTGATTTCTTCCCATCCATTTGCACCTCAGTGGCTTCCTCCAGATTTTGTCCCACCTAAGGGGTAGTTCCCTCGGCCTAGCCTTCTTTTTTTTTTTTTTTTAAATAATTTATTGTTATGTGAATCACCATACATTACATCATTAGTTTTTGATACGGCCTAGCCTTCTAAAGGCCCTTGGCAAAAACTCTCTGAACTTGGGAGAGAAAAAAAAAAAAAAAAAGGCAAAGGTTTTTACTTATATTAGCTTCTCTCCTTAACATAAAAATACAGACCAATCCCACTAATTCCTGATTCTGTTTCCCCCAAAGTTCCCATGCTTGCTCCTTCCATTGGGATGGTCTCGTTAAATTTGATTTTGTCTTGGTAAATCCAAAGTGGCCCAGTCCAAGCAGCTGCCCCCATCTCATGGATCATGGGGCCCAGGGCGTACCAGTTGTTGTACTTGGGGAGCTTTCGGATAAGTCCCTGCTTTTCTAGGAGGGTCAGCGTGGCAATGTTCTCAGCCTCGGTGCCATCACAGATGTGGATGCCCTCCGGTCGGCACAGGCGGGCACTGTGTTCCACAAAGTCTCGCACCCCAGCAGGCAGCTGGCCCAGATCTCCACTGAGTACTCGCAGGGTCTGGATGCTGCGCCATGATGACCAGCCCCAGGGGCTCAGCCCAGGCCAGCTAAGCCTGCAAGACAAGAAACAGGGAATGAGCAGGGTGTTCTCATGGAAGCCGGGCAAGTCAAGGGGACGAGAAGCTTGAGCGCTGCTGGGGAGTGTGCTAGAGCGGGTCTGGGCACAGGCACCTTGAAGGGCAGGTCGGAATAGGTGAGTGGGATGGGTTCGGGCCACATGTATGTTGCGGCCTTCATGAGTCTCAGTGAGGGCCAATGACCATAAGGGCACATGCCTGGCTGTATGGAGTATATCTGGAGGCATGCTGAGGTTATTGCAGGCTAAACCCGTGTCCACGTTTCACTGTGTCTGGTCGATGTTGGAATGATGGGGTGCCCTGTTGCCCAGGTGACAGCTTCATGTGTCTGGTATTTGAAGCTCTCATCCCTGTTCTTCCCCTTCTCAAGCATAATTTTTTAAGTTAAAAAAAAGCAGCTGTTTTTACTTTTTTCTTCTGGTGTGTATGCTATTAAGACTATGAAAGCCTCAGCAAAGGACCCAGGCTTTGAGATGGGACAGTCCCAGGTTTCTAGATTAGGGCTCTTGCACAGAGAGTGGGTAACTGGATATTGGGGTTCCAGGCATCAGAGTTAGGGATGCCCACCTGGGCCAACAAGGGTTGCATAAGATGTTTGCCATTGGGTAGGTGTCTTTGAGCTGGGCCGAAGGCTGACTGTTGAGGAATGTCACTGGCTGGGTTCATGCCCATTCCCAGGAGGGCAGGGTCCCTGTTGTCTGTCCCTTCGCACTCCTGGGAGAGGGAGAAGCAGGGTCCGCTCTGACTGGCCTGGACCCAGGGTGGAGTGACCCAGAGAGAGCAAAGGCCAAGAGAGGGAAGTTGCCCTCCTTCTATGCCAGGGCCTCACCCACCAGAAACTGCTCCACACAACGGACTGCGTGCCCCTGTCCCTCCCCCTAGAGGTCACATGCCTAGAGAGCTTTGGGTCTTAGCAGAAAGGGGGGGGGAGGACTTCAGACTGCAAAAAGCTCAAACTCAGACGCTGTAAGCCTGGGGAAGGGAGGACCCTCAGACCACGGATGAGGGAGCTGGAGCCTGGCTAGAGTGGGACCTGGACTGGCTTCCAACAGAGAAAGCAGGATGGAAACCCAGTGCAGCCACAGGGGCAGAGGAAGAGGACTGCTGGAACCTGGAGAGTTGTCCCTGAGCATTCATTTTAAAGGCACCCAGTCTTGGGGAGAGCTTCTCCCTGCAGGGGGCCTGGCTCAGGAAGTCTCTGGTGATGCTCCCCCACTCCCGTCCAGTCCCCTAAGTGGGACCTTCTCCTTTTCCTCTGCTCCAGAGACCACCCTCAAGGGCTGGCAAAGTGGAACCAGCTGTGAGAGAGATATGGGGTCAGCTCAGACTTTGGGACAAATGCTGGGAAGAAGGGAGGTTACAGAGGACCGACAGGAAGCTCTGAAAAGGGAGCAGGGCCTAGGGGCTCCCGTCCTGGACAGGGACCAAAGCCAGCCATATCAGAATTGAAAGCAACTTGCCCCCCTCCTCCACCTTGCTTCCCTCCTTCCCCTGGCCCCAAGTCTGGGGCTCCCTGGGCTGCACCGGGCTTCCCTCCAGGGTCCAGTTCGCGGGAGACCGGGTAATACAGGTTTACCTTCTACCTTCTTTGGGGAGCTCTGAGCTCAATCCCCCAGGGATTCACGCACCCTTGACCCCAGGGCCCTATCGCTTCTGATAGCAACTGGGGCACAGGGGTTACATCTGTAAAGGAAAGGAAGAGACGAGGAGACAGGGCTCCGCGGGGGCGAGCGAGGAGGGGGAAGAAGTTCTGAGAGTGGCAGGTCGAGACGGTGCGGTCAGAGACCAGCAAAGCAGGGAGGGGGAGGAGGGGACGGAAGCGAAGAGACCCAGAGCGGCAGAAGCCGCCCCAGATCTCCCGCGAGACGCCCGGTCCGAGAGGCCGGGGATCGAGAACACTCGCCCCCGGCCCGCCGCCTCCTCCGCCGGGAAAGCGGACGGAGGCGGGCAGGCAGGAGAGCCCCCCTGGCCGCCCCGAGGGGGCGAGCGCGGCGGAAGGTGCGGGTCGGCCCCGGGCTGGGGCTCACTCACCGCAGGCCGGGGCGGTACACAGCGGCCATGGCACCTGGGCGGGGGCTGCGCGGTGGCCACGAGAACCGAGCGGAGCCGGGGAGATAAGGAAAGCGGGGAAGGAGGGAGCGCAGCGAGCGGGAGCGGAGGCTGGGCGGGAGGCGCTTAAAAAGGAGGCGGGCGGGAGGGCGCAGGGGCGGAACCTAGCAGGGCCGGCGCGACCCTCTCTCCGCCCTGCCATTCGGCCCGCTCCCCGGGTCCCGGGGCTCCAGGCCCTAGGCCCGCCCAGGCGCCCGCCCCACGCCCCGCATCCTTGTCCCTAAACCCGTCTCTCCCATTGGACAGCCGGGCCCGTCGGCTCCCCGCCTCCGCGAGGCCCCGCCCCCCGCCCCGCCTCGTCCCCTGCACATGATGTAACTTTGAGGACTCTTGCTCCCGAGAGATAGGGGCTGGGAGACACTGGGGTGGCAAACAAACCAGGAACGAGGGGAGAGGCCAGGGCGTGGGCCCACGGAGGCTGGAAGTCCAGAAACCGGGGGTTGGACATTGCCTTTTCCTTTCTGGGGATTGGCCACTCTGAGACCCAGGCTTTTTGTTTTCCAGGGTCCCAGGGCTAAGGTTCCCTCGGTCCCCAACTCCCAAATCCCTGTTTCTTCTCCTCCTAATGAGGGCTCTCTTCTGCCTCACCATGAAATGGTGGTGCCTCTCCACCCCAGAGTCTTTCCTTTGGGCCTCTGTCCTGGCTGTTCTTGCCACATTCCCCTGGAGAACTAATCTGTCCCACCCAACCGCCACATATGGTCCTCAGATAATTTCTCAAGTTATGTCTCCATTCAGACATCTCCCTGCAACTTGAGACCACTAAGTATCACCCCAAATGCCATAGTAACTCAAACTCAAACATGTCTGTGGTAGGCACCTGCCCAGCATTGACACCCCCTTTTTGTTAGTAGCACCCTGATGTTCCTTTGGGGAACCACCTCACCAGTCCATGTGATCATATGGGTCTCCTGTGGGTAGGCTTTCAGTTTGGCCAATCTGTATGTTCCTCGCTTTGGCCATTGCCAAAGTGATTGCGAATGTTCAGGGATGGACATGAGATCCCTCTTGGGGGCTTTTTCTGTACACGTTCAAAATGGGCTGTCTTTCTGTTGGGGTTGCTGAGCCTGGTAGGATATAAACCTAGAGCTGCTGGGTGTCAGCTTGGCACTGCAAAGCAGGAACCTACCGTAGATGGAAGCCAACCTGGAGGAAGCAGAGCAGAGGGATGGAGAGCTACAGGTCCCCGATTTCGGTTGTAAGAGTCAACAAATTTCTTCTCTCGCTCAAGCTAATTTTCAATGGATTTCTGCCGTTTGCGAGAGAAATAATCCTGATTCTCAGGTTTCTCAGAGTTCTGTGCTAGAACGTATCGGGACAAGGAGAGCTGGCCTCCAGCCTTGGGCTTGCTGTTGACTCTCTAGCTCTTCACCCAGCCCCCATCCTGGACTCAACCTCACGTGTATATATTTGGGATTCTTTCCTCCAGTCCCTATATCCAAGCTCTGTCCACACCTACTCTGCTTCAAACAGCTGCCTCTTTGGCCACCTTTTAGTCCTAAAGGTGTGCACGCCAGGGGCAGCATGCATCTGCCGAAGGTCATCATTTCTGTTCTCACGGTTCCGCATCTCAGTGAACGGCACCAGCATCTAGGCAGTTGCCCCAGAGGAACCTGAATCAGTCTAGGCTATTCCTTTCTTCTCTTCCATAGCCAATCAGACACCAGGAGCTTTGGATTTGTACTTCCTAATTAGCTCTCAAATCTATGTCCATCCCCATGGCCACTGCCTTAGTTCAGGGCTTACCTCTCACCTGGCTTCGGGTGATATCTTCCAAGATGCTTCTTAGACTCCTGCCTCTCCAAATGCCACCCACTCTCCCTCCCAGCCAGCTACCCTCCAAACTCTGCACATAAGTTCACTTTGATGAGTTAAGAGAGAGAGGGAGAATGTTTATTGTGTGGACACCAGGCCGGGCTCTGTGCTAGCAGCTTCACATGCATCATTTCATGCAGTTTCACAACCATCCTATTTTACGCATGTGGCCACTGAGGCCCAGAGAGGTTGTCATCTGCTCAATGTCACATAGCTGCTCAGCAGGAGAAATGGAGTCTGAATCAAAGCCTTTCTGACTCTCATTACCAGGTTATTTTTTTCCCCTTCCAATCCTATACTGTCCCCTAGATTGATAATTTTTAAAAAGGTGAGATCATATCACTTTCAGGCTTAAAATCCCTTCGAGGCTTCCTACAATGGGGCAGCTGATGTCCTTTGTAATCTGGCTCCTATTTATCCAACATTATCACTGCCACCTTCCTACTTGCCACCTACATGCTCAACTGCAGTGTCCAGAACCCTTTTGCCGACCCCTTCTGCCCTTCAGATTTAAATTAAACATCCCCTCTTACGTGAAGTCAGTTTGACTCTAAGAATTAACATCTATCTCATGTGTATTGGTTCTATACTGTATACATACCTCTGTTTTTGAACGTCTCACACTCTACTACAGTTACTTTTGTATCTCTGTAATCCTCACTTAAGTGTTAGCTCCTTGAAAGAAGGACCCAAGTTTAGTCTTATTTTTATCCTAGTTCCTGGCAGAATCTGGCCTGTAATAGGCAGCTAATAAATGCTGTTTGAATAAAAGAATAAACAAGTCTCACGTTCCTGAATCTTTCTCCCCCATTATGTCCTTCCTTAACTTTAGGGCCCCCAAGAGGGTTTCCTTGTAGTGTTGATTCCCTTTATTTGCTACAATTTTATACCGGTCCTGGCCCTCCTCCCAGCTTGGTCTACTAGCTGGCGCAGCTTTGGAGGCACACCACCACCAGGGGGCAGGGTGTGACCAGCCTTGCCCTGGTCTGCATCTTCTCCTTCCCTGGGCCCTCTGGGTCTGGCCTTTGGACATCCTACAGACCCCCTGTAGCCCTGTAGTGGATGCTGTGGTGCGCCACCTAGATCCCCTCTTCAGGATCCAGGTGCTCATTGTCCCAGCCCTGGAGTGTTGGCTGCTAATGGCTCACAGCTGAATACTTCCCTGAGCACTACCTGTGGGTAATACCCCTCTCCTGGTGCAGCATGTATCCAGTGACTGGTTGATGCAGGGGTACAAGGCCTGGTCCCCTTTCCTCAGTTTGGTCTAGCCGAGCTCCAGAGCTCCTGTGGGGTCAGCTGAAGACTCTGTTGCAATTGCAGAACACTTCTGCTTTTCCTGCTGTCCAGTCTTGTTTTTCTCTCTGCTTTTAAAAGTCCTCCCCGTCCCCCCACCCCAGGGAACTACCTGTACACAAGTTTCCATCTCAGAGTTTGTTTCCAGCTTAAGATATCCCCTAAACTCAACTTGGATACTGCATGAGCCCCCTAATCTGACTCTGATTCCATTTTGCCCTCCTCCACACTAGATCCAAAGTGATCTTTTCAAACACAGTCTGATCACGTCACAGTCCTGCCAAAAGTTCTTTAGTAACTTCTCACTGCTCTTGGAATAAAGCCCAAATCCTAAACTTGGACTATAAGGCTCTGCTGATATCTCCACCCTCACCTACCACCATTCTTCCCACTTTCTTGGTTTCTACTCTCTGCTATGTTGGTCTTTTTATTTGTTCGTTTTGTACACGTGTCTCTTTCCTGCCCAGAGCCCTTGCATATATTGTTCTTGCAGCTTGGAATCCCCCTTTTCTCCACACCCCCAGACATGGTCACTTCTTACTCACCCGGCCCGTCTCAGTTTAATATGTCTTCATTAGGCAAGCTGTCCCCGGGATGCCGCCCTCCCCATTAGATTATGTCTTCGTGAAAGAAAATATCCTAGTGCCTGCCCTTCTCCTTCATGGGACTCACCTCAGTTATAATGGTTGCTTTTCATGTAGGCTCCTCCCTAACACATGTGGGGCCTGGGGCAAGAGTACAGATAGGGGCACCTGGCTGGCTCAGTTGGAAGAGCGAAGAGCGTGCAACTCTTGAGCTTGGGGTCGTGAGTTTGAGCACCATATCAGGTGTAGAGATTACTTAAGTAAGTTAAAAAAAAAACAACAAACTTCAAAAAAGAGTGCAAATAGAGGCTCACAAATCTTGTGTTTAAATTTTTTTTAAAAAAATATTTATTTATTTGAGAGAGAGAGAGAGAGAGCAGGAGGGAGAGGAGAGAGAATCTGAAGCAGAATCCACACCGAGCACAGAGCCTGACGTGGGCTCAATTCCACAAAAGCAAAGGCAAGATCTTGACCTGAGCCGAAAACGAGTCGGTTGCTTGACTGACCGAGCCAGCCAGCTGCCCCCTTGTGTTTAAACATTTAAAATGTAGAATTTATGCCAAGAAACTCTTAAATAAAATATGTTCTATTCTTCTACCTTGATAAATATATACATAATGGTCTGGAATTTGGTTCAAATTTGAATTCAGATTCGGACTTTATTCGGAGTCCTCAGGATTCTACAGTAGAATGTGGTGGTATGGGGAGAGGATGTGTTGGGCCACTGGCCTTGGGCCCTCTTCTTTTCCCACTCCTGACACCATCTTGTACTGTGAGGGGCCTCGTGTGCACACATGTGGACCTCTCTGTCTACACGTCCCAGTTCTGTCCAAGACCTCCTGCAGAATAGTCACTGTTGGCCAGCCTTTGGGTCTAGGGATGTAAGTACCAGTAGTGTGGTCCACTCCTGCAAGGGCCAACCCAGGGGAGAGGTCCATGTGGGCCCTAGAAGTGGGCTTGGGGCCCTTTGGGCAGAGAATTCCTGGGTATCTGGAGTGTGGTCCAGAAGGGGATTGGGTGTGGGAGGAGGAGGCCTGAACTCCTCACCCCATGGGGTGGGACACAGCCAGAATGGAGCCTTCCAAAACCACAGGGTCCAAGGCAGGGGCCACTCTTGCCTGGGTCTAAGGGCAATAAATTGATGTTTCCCTCTTTCATCAGTCTGTATGCTCTGTGAAGGCAGGGCTGGTGTCAGTCTTTAATGGGGTGTCCCTAAGGCCTAGCACAGTGCCTGGTGCTTGATAAACACTTGTCAAAGGACGCCTGGGTGGCTCAATCAGTTAAGCGTCTGCCTTCGGCTCAGGTCATGATCCCGGGGTCCTGGGATCGAGTCCCACATCAGGCTCCTTACTCAGCGGGGAGACTGCTTCTGCCTCTGCTTGCTCTTACCCCTGCTTGTGCTCTCGCTCTCTTTGACAAATAAATAAATAAAATCTCAAAAAAAACAAAAACAAAAACACTTGTCAAATGAACATACCAGGTAGATCAGGAAGAGGTCTGAAGATTTGGATCCATTACTGAAGATCTAGGTGCCAAAAGCCAGAACTTACAGGGCTTACAGGGTCTAATGGGCTCCAAAAATGGGAGTGCAGGAGCCGGTAGTGATGGCATCCCGGCTTACCGACTGTGTCTCCTCTCCTCCCTCTTTGTCTTGTACCCCAATTCTCCTGGCCCTTCACCTGCCTGGCCCTCTTCCCACAATTGTCCAACATCCCTCCGTTTATATCTTTCTCCTTGTTTGTCCTTTGGCCACTGTGCCTCCTCTGTGGCCTGACCATCCGTCTGTTCCTCTGTATTTCTTTCTAGCTCTTGGTCCCCAGTCTTAACTTGCCTCTGTCCCTTCCTTCTACCGCCATTGCTCTTCTGGTCCCTTGCTCCTAGCAAGGGACCCCTTCTTGTTACCCCTTACTCCCGCCTTGGTCCTCTGCAGAAGTCTTCCTCTCTCTTTTAGTTTGCCACTTAGTGGCCCTTTGCCTGCCTCTTCCATGGGCCTATATCCCTCCAACTCCTCTAAGACAAATCCTTGAGAGCCCGCAGCTTGTTCTGCCCTCCATCCCAGGTTGACACCTACTGCCCCTTCCGCTAAGCCTTCTTGCGTCCCTTCCTCTGTTCCGTCATTTCTGCAGTCCACCTGGCGTCATCTTTTTCTCTCCTGTTTCCCTGTCTCCAGATGTCCTGGAGTCAGTCACTCTCAGTGTGCATCTCCCAGTCTCTGGGTCCCCCACCGAGAGGGCCCATTAACCACCTCCCGGGGCCCCACTGGTTGCCATGGCTTCTCCTCTCTGTGCCCTTGCTCCTTTCCTCTGGCCCAGCCCTCACTGCCCAGACTCCTTTCCCTAGTCAGTGGCACCTGGTCTGAGCCCTGAGCGGCTCAGCTTGCCTGAGCTTGTTTAGTCTGACTCTTTTAGCCCGTTAGCAGCTTAGCCCCCCCACCTCTCCTTTGAGCCCTCCAGTAAACAAGAAGATCAGCACAGACCTGACAGCTGTTTGGGGGCAAGTGTCTGGCCAGGCCAGGCACGAGAAAGGGGCTGCATTCAACACTTCCTACTCCTTCTTCAACTCAGGAAGTTCTGGGCCCTCTTTCCTGGCTATGTGCCTCAAGGCCACATTCCGTGGACGTGTGTGCGATTCCCTGTCTCCATGATCCCCATTCCCATCTGTGGCCTTGTTCCCAGGCCTTGGTTCTTTTGCAAAATCAGCTAGATCCAAGCAATTACACTGAGAAGTCTTACTACTTAAATCATGACAATGGTCTCTGCTCCACGAAATGCAGGACAGATGTGGGAAGAGGGTGATGTCATTTGATCTAGGTCTTCTTCTTTTTTTTTTTTTTTAAAGATTTTATTTATTTATTTGAGAGAGAGAGAATGAGAGATAGAGAGCACAAGAGGGAAGAGCGTCAGAGGGAGAAGCAGACTCTCCACTGAGCAGGGAGCCCGATGCGGGACTCGATCCCCGGACTCCAGGATCATGAGCTGAGCCGAAGGCAGTCGCTTAACCAACTGAGCCACCCAGGCGCCCATGATCTAGGTCTTCTTATATGTGTGTGCTAAGCATGGTAAGGGAGGCCCCCCCCCACCCCCCCACACACAAAGCTGTGTAAACTCTAGGTATTCTGTAGACCAGTGGTTCTCAAACTTCAGTGTTCGTCAAAGTCCCCTGAGGGCTTATTAAAACACAGATTTTGGGGATCCCATCCCCAGAGTTTCTGATTCAGTGGGTTTGAGGTGAGGCCAGAGAATATGCATTTCTAGCAAGTTCCCAGATGCTGTGGCTGGTTGGGGGAACCATACTTTGAGAAATACTGTTCTCATCTGAATCCACCAGTTGGGACCAGATTAATTTTTATAACTGTTGATCCTTGGGGCTGATGGACACCCAGGTCTCTCTCTGACTTGGGACAGAGGGCCTGTTAACCCCATGGGAACGTTTGGGTATCCTCACTAGGTAAGGAATAGCCGTTAACTCCTGGAGTTCTATTCTAGCGCACACCCTGTTTTAAACAGCTTCAGACAGGTTTAAACACCTCCTTAGCTAATTCCTAGTATCCCCGTTCCAACTTCTACTCAGGGATGAGAGCTCTAAGAGGTGTTAAGGGATTAGGCTGAAAATGTAGGTCACCCCCCAGCCATCTGGGAACCAGGATGGTGAGAGAGGAAGAGAGAGGGGCAGAGACACATGCAGGGAAAAGGCGAGGGGAAGCAGAGGGCGTGTGAGGGCAGTTACAGAAGTGTGTCGGATGGACGGATTGGTGGTGATTAGATTTCCGTGGCCCGAGGTGGCCCGGAAGGAAGGAGCAGAGATCCCACTCTCCCTTCTGCTGCTCCTTCGTCTGAGCTGGGCAGCCTGTCCCGGACCTGGGTCAGCAAGAGCGGGAGAGGCTGAGGATTGCGTGGCCAAGTCCCGGACGTTCATCAAGGGGACGGGTGCCTGTCTTTTGGAGACGAGAGCTGTGAGGGGTGTGGGGCCTCACAGTGGCAGTGAGGCAGGGGACAGAAATGTGAGGTTTCCCGAGCACAGGAAAAAGACCCAACTGGCTAGGTCAGAGTGGGTTCGGGACCACTTGGACTCCCGCAGGCACCACCACGGTGCTGTTGAGCGTTGGAGGGTGAGGGCGCCGGGAGCTTCTCTGGGCCTCTCTTCCAGTCCCAGGCTCTCAGTTGCTGAGCGCTGCGGGTGGTGTTCACACGAGTGTGGCTGGCCAGGCCAAAGCCGCTCTCTGTACCGGGGGACTGAGCATCTGCGAGACGGACCATCAGTAAGGAGCTTTGTTGGGGAAGATGTCCCCTCTCCTTCCTTGAGAACAGGCATACTTGTCCTCTTCCCTCTTCTCATCCGCCCCCCAACCCCCCAGGCCAATGAGATATGCAAATGATCCCCTTACCTCATTGGTTAAAGGCCTGAGGACCACAGATGACCTCAGAGTGCTGGTCCTTTAAGAGTGTCCTGTGGGCTTGGTGCCCACAGCGCCTTGTTCTGAGTGTTCTGAGCGCAGAGGCACCGGGCCCCGCTCAATGGGGTCTCCAGTCTCTGGGGACGCTGTGCCTGCCTGGCTCTGACACTGAGCACATCGTCTCTACCATCCTCGTCGTGAGTATATTCAGGGCCTACCTGCATGCCAGGCCTCTCACCTACAGCCTCCTCCTCTGTCACTGCTGTCTGCTCTCTGTTGTCTGTCTTCAAGAATCCACTCTGTCCCCTGCCCCACTCCCACTCTGACTGGCTTTATGTCCCTCACGGCTGTCACGGCAGAAAGAGAAATAACCCTCCTCACTTAGCTCTTCATTCAGTTCTCTCTGGACGCCTCTCTCAGTGTTTCGCCATCTCCTCCCTGCCAAGGATCATTCCTTCAATCTGTGTCTTTGTTTCTACCACCGCTGTCCTCTCAAGGGTGAGGGGCTCAATAGATAGGGCAACAACCCTTCCCCGGGACAGGAAGAGCGAAAGATTTGTCCTTCCCCCGCACCTCTCTGGGCAGAGCCCGAGGGTCTGAGAAGTCGTTAGAAAGAGGGCTACCTAGGCTTGAGGTGTCAAGATGGAGCCAAATGCCAAGCTCTGGGGATGAGCACTCTCTGCCTTGCACCTTCAGGGGCTGGCAGTGGGGCTGTTGGAAACGGGAGCTGGGCTAGAGCTTGGGAGTTCCAGGCTGGGAGGGATCTCTGAGGTTACCTAGCCTGAGGTTCCTCAGGTGAGCGCACACTCTGTGGTTGATAACAGGGAGGAGAGCTCCTTGGTGACATAAGTTTGGGACACGCGGGGTTGAGGTTGAACAGATGGTTTACTGAAGGACTTCTCAGATTAATATGCTGCTGTGCTTTGTGAATCTGCCGAACGTGGGGATGGGAGGCAGCATTTCTCGAAATTATCTGAGCATCGACTTCTTCTTGGGTATTTCTCAGACTTAGGATTTCCCAGAACACTCTTTGGGAAATGGTAAAGTCTAACTGCCTTTACTGAACAAAAAGAGAAACTGGGGTCAGAAAGGGGGAGGTGATCTGTCAAGTTCACACAACATAGCAGGTTCTGGATAGAAGGAGGAAGACCAATTTTAGTTGGTTCCCTTTGGAGAGATTGGCTTGGGGAAAGAAGGTCACCACTCAGTCCTGATCTTTCTAGAACCGATTCTAGGACCTTTCTTTTTTCTTTACAAAGTCTCACGCTCCTATAAAAGGGATTAGTTGATTGATTAACCCATAGAACAGATGTGCACTGAGGACCTTCTATGTGCAAGGCATCTATCTAGGTGTTCTGAGAGAGAGGTATAACAACTTGTTATCCTTATACATTAAAATTCACGGCATACATGCCTTCCCATTGTCCTAAAATAGACACTCTGTCACAGTTAATTAAGCAAAATTTTTTGATTGCTTGGAAATGGAATGATGTCTCTTGAGATGACAGCCTCTCAGTATGTCCCAGCACTAGAGCTGGGAGCACTGCCATGTTCCTCTTGTTTTTCATAGCTCCCAGAGGCACCAGTGGGGCCAGACGCTGTGCCATCTATCCTCTTCCTCAATCAGGCCTCTGAGCTGCTTGCCCCCAGTCAGGAGCCCCTGCCACCTGAAAAGTTGCTCCAGCCCAGAGGTGACTCTTTAGGGAACAGAGTTGCACCATCACCCAGGCTTTCCAGAACTCTGGCTCTCCAGGGCACTTGGGCTTTGGGAGAAGCAGGTTCTGGTGAAGGAGGCTGGCAGGCAGCCTCCAGGTGCTCCAAACCTCTCCTCTGTTTTTGCAGGTGCACCCCTCCCAATCCAGCCCCAGAATGGCACTGCCTCCCAGCCCCCTGGCTATGGAATATGTCAATGACTTTGACCTGATGAAGTTTGAGGTAAAGCGGGAACCCTCTGAGGGGCGATCTGGCCCCCCAACAGCCTCACTGGGCTCCACACCCTACAGCTCAGTGCCTCCTTCACCCACCTTCAGTGAGCCAGGCATGGTGGGGGCTACCGAGGGCCCCAGGCCAGGCCTGGAGGAGCTGTACTGGCTGGCCACGCTGCAGCAGCAGCTGGGAGCTGGGGAGGCACTGGGGCTGAGTCCTGAGGAGGCTGTGGAGCTGCTGCAGGGTCAGGGTCCAGTCCCTATTGAGGGGCCCCACAGCTACTACCCAGGGAGCCCGGAGGAGACAGGAGCCCAGCATGCCCAGGTGAGTGATCACTGAGCTGCCCTGAGGGGAGGCAGGGTGAGGGAGGACAGCCCAAGAGAGGAAGGAGAATTCCTGGACTGGGTTATGGACTGGGGAAGAGACAGAGAGCAGGAGAAAGGGGCCCTTGAAAGAAATCAGAGAAAACTACCTTCTGCTCCCTCCCCTTTTTCCAAATGGAGAGAAATGAGTAGTCTGAACCAGGAGGAAGAGGGAGAAGACTGGGTTAGAAGAGGACCAAAAGGGGAGAGTGGAGAATTAATGGGGAGCGGTTCTTTGCAGGGAGGTAAATACACTCTGTGGAAACCAGGGAAAGAGTTGTGCGGGGAATGGAGTGGAGTTGAGACTGTGGGAACGGGAATGAGGTTGGCCTTTTCAAACATCGTGCTTCCCCAGCCCCCAATCTTCTCAGGAAGGATTGGGACTCATCCTATTAATTATAGACACAGATGGGAGTGTTGAGGGCATTAGGATGTAATCCAAATCCTTTGAGGGTCACAGGGTTGCGGCCTTCAGGACAGGGGAGCGAGGTGCATTGGCGGGGCGGGGTCTGCCTGGGCGCGTGTCCACTGGACACCAAGAGAGCCTGGAGCGGGACGACGAGGACCTGGCGCAGGCTTGGCGCGGGTTTCCGACTCGCGACTGGCTCACCCGACCGCGGGAGGCGGGGCCTGCAGCGCGGGGCGGACCCAAAGGGGCGCGCGCTCCCCGAGGAGGAGGGGCTTGTTGGGACCTGGGGCGGGGTCTGGACTGCGGGGTGGATTAGGTGGAAGGGCGAGCATCAGGTAAGGCGGGGGCCGGGGGCGGAGCCTCCCCTGGGGCGGGGCAGTCCCGCCGGCGACCAGAGGGTGGAGCCGGGCGGGCCCCAGGCGCTGACCCGCTCTCCGGCCGCTCCCTCTGCAGCTGGCGGAGCGGTTTTCCGACGCGGCGCTGGTGTCGATGTCTGTGCGGGAGCTCAACCGGCAGCTGCGGGGCTGCGGGCGCGACGAGGCGCTGCGGCTGAAGCAGAGGCGCCGCACGCTGAAGAACCGCGGTTACGCGCAGGCCTGTCGCTCCAAGCGGCTGCAGCAGCGACGCGGGCTAGAGGCCGAGCGCGCCCGCCTGGCCGCCCAGCTGGACGCGCTGCGGGCCGAAGTGGCCCGCCTGGCCAGGGAGCGCGACCTCTACAAGGCTCGCTGTGACCGGCTGACCTCGAGCGGCCCCGGGGCCGGGGACCACGCCCACTTCTTCCTCTGAGCCGCTACGGGCCACCGAGGGGTGTCCTGGGGGGATGGAGGGGCACCATGCAGGAGGCCACTGTACCGTTCACTAGATGGTCACTGAGCGCCTTCTGGTGCCAGACACTCCGTGGTATGACTATACATAAATATCCCCGAACTTCCGGGACCCTCAAGGCATGCTCCGAGGTTAGATGCTGGTCATTTTCTGGGAGAGAGGTCTTCTCTCCTCACGCAGGCAGCACACAGAACCCTCCACCTCCTGTTCCACCCCACATGACCAGGACACCGAGATCGGGAGGAGCCAGTGCCGGGCACTGTGGGTGAGGGGGGGGGGAGGCGTGGATGATGGCTGGGTGACAGCGAATGGGAGGCGAGGGAGAGGTGTGACTCCCCCTCAGTTTAGATTTTAATTCAAGGTTTTCAACCTGTAGTGCATTAAGGCGGTAATTAGCAATGAAGCCGTCTTTTCATTCTGAGGCTTGGAAACTCCCCATTTTAGGACTACTGCATTTTCAAGATCTCAGTTACCAACAGCAAGACAGACTAGGAACTCTATCCAAGAGGCTTTCCTCCCACCCAACCCGGTGGCCTCCAGGGCCCAGAGCAGCAAAGGCCTGAGGAGCTCTGGGAGTGGTTGGTGTGGGCTGGGAGAGAACTCTGGGCAGGAGTCTGGGGACCTGGGTACTAGTCCCAGCTCTGCCACTGGATACCTCTGTCACCTTGAGAAAACCACTTGCTCCCTGGGTTTTGGTTACCTCCTCTAATCCTGGGTTGGAGACTTCTGACACCTTTCCAGTTCTGGCATCTCCTTGGTGTGGGAGCCCCAAGAGCCTCCCCAAGAAGCCCCCAGGACGACCTCACCGCAGGGACTACCTGTCCTGCTCCTGCTTCCTGATTGAAGCCTCTGCATCGGATAAGCCCCCGTACTGGTCCTCTGCTGCTCCCTCCAGGCTGCCTTGGCCTCCAGACCTGCATAGGGTACCCTTGCTACCTCCTGCCTTGCTGAGGGCTGGGGTGAGGTTTTACCCAGTATGACAAGATGCTGAAAGAATGCAGATTTTGTGAATTAAACTTGAAGTTCAGGCAGAACTTGATACTATTGGCTAAATGTTCTTGCCATTTAAGAAGTGTTCATTCTTTAGCCTTGCTCCCGGCTTGTGTGCGTGCGTGTGTATGTGTGTGTGTGTGTGTGTGTGTGTGTGTGTGTGTGGTGAGTCTCAGTTCCGGAGGCCCAATGAAAATGGGGTGGAAGGGTGGGGATTGGGCCAGATGGAGCCTCCTCCTCCTCCCACCATTGCACAGAAGCCCAGAAGCATCAGTGACTGGGCCAGGCTTGCCTATGGCTATCCTGAGGTCCCACAGTTGCCATGGTTACCCAGCCCTCTGGTTCATCTGCCTACAGAGAGAGTAGGCGGGGGCTCTGGGCAGAGCAGAGGCATTGAGCTGGGAGCAGCTAATTCACCAGCCACTGTCGTAGGTCCTCTAAGGGACATAATAAATAGGGAGAAGCAGTTGAGGGTGGGGGAGAGGCTCCCATATGTCTCTCTTCCTTTCTGCCCCCTCTAACCACCCCCTCCCCAGCTGTCTCTTTCCCATCACAGTTATTCCCTCCTCCCCCTCCTCTAGCCCAGCTTGTCCCTCTTCCACTCAGGAACCTGCAATGGTAGGCATCTCCTCCATCTCCCCCAGGATTTCTTTTTCTTCTCCTCTCCTTCTCCACCACTGGCCATTGGCCACCCTCTCTAGCTCTGGCTGAGTGGCTCACAGCACATTTGGCCTCTCCTCCTTCATCTCCTTCATCATTGAGGGAGAGGCTGGGGCAGGGAGGGTCCCTCCAGGATCCTGTCTTTTCTTCCCTGGCTCTGGATATCACCTGTGTTCTCACCTGCTCTCTGAAGCTTCAATCCAGACCCAGCACTGCTCTTGCACTCCTTGCTTAACTGGCTGAGGCCCTGCACAGCACACACACATGGGCAGAGACGCCATCCACAGGAACCTACCCCCATACACACAATCAGCCCACGTATACATACACCTGGGGCTCAAGATGAGGCTCGTACAGAAGTTGCACACTAGTGATTTAGGGTGTGGGCACTTCAGTCAGATGGGTATGGGCTCAATTCCAGGCTCGCCAGTTCTTTGATGATGGGTGGATTTAAATGAAGCCTCACTTGATTTGAAGAAAAATGGGGAAAATGATGCTAACTACCTAGTGAGAGTGAATGCATTTAAAGCACGTAGCACAAAGTTTCACACATGGTGAACAATAATGTTCACTGCTGTTGTTAATGTTATTAAGGGTACACAGCCTGACTTTCTGAAACATTAAGGCCACACTCGTGGAGAGGCAGGGATGTGCAGTGCATGAACACACGCGCACATTCACACATCCAGGAAAACCAGGCTGCACAGACCTCAGATACCCCCTCTGTGTTCACAATCCACTCACAGACCTGCTGCCCTCCTTCAGTCCCCCCAACACCCCTGCTTGGCCCGCCCCACAGCTGTGTGGGGGCTGGAGTGCATCTCCTAGGGGACTCAGCTGGGCTTCTCTAGAGACAGCTGTAAGAGGGCATCAACCTGCCCCTTTGACAGCCCCTCATTACCACCCCGCATCTCTGGTAATTAACCTCCATGGTGCTGGGCCCCCCTGGGGTTGGGAGGTGAGGGTAGGGGCTCCTCAGATCCCACTGGCACACAGCTGGGGTGAAACCGCTGAGACACCAGGCTGCGTGGGAGCTCTGGGTCAGATCTGAAAGGTGCTGGTCCTCATTTCTTAATGGTGTGTGTGGATGGGTGGGCGTTATGGACTGTCCATGGACATCTGAGGCATGATAAATAGAGGCTGAAGTGCTAGGAGTGGTTCCCTTTATTAACGACCAGAAAGTCAGGATCACTGAAGAAAATCACAAGGCTGAGGGGTATGGGGCCTGGAGAGAAAGAGCAGGGCTCACCACGCACTTCCAGGACCTAGGGGCCACAGCTGGTCCAAGAGGGAGAGGCACTGGTCACTCGAGTCACAAGGGTCAGGACAGGCACCTGGGACAGGGTGGGATAGTCATCAGCACCTTCCTCCACACCACACCGAGCCCAGATGCGCTCCACCAAGCCCCACCTTGCACCCCTGTCCACCCCTTTGGGCCCCCGGGACTCACTGAGAGGCTGAGGGAGGGTTGGTCCGGTGGGAGGCAGTCACGGGCTAGGGCTGGGGGTCGTGGCCGGTGTGCAGGGCCTGGGAGCCCCGGGGCTGATGCCCTGGCTGGCGTAGTACTCCACCACCTGCCTGGGCACCTCAGCCAGGACGCACTTGGCAAGCGCAGAAGGTGCGGCCTGGGCGTGGGGGCGGGGACGGGGTTAGCGGGTTAGCGGGCCGGAGAGTGGGGGCGGGGTCAGGCAAGGGGGCGGGGCTTCGGGCTGGCCTGCTGGGCTCCAGCGTCCTCCGCAGGCCACCAACCCGGTGTGGGAGAGACGGGTCAGATTTGAGGGCCTGAGGAGCTGAGGAGTCTTTCGGCCGGGAGGGGGCGCCGGGCACTCACATCCTTGAAGTCCCGAAAGGGCACGAACTGGACGATGTCGCGGGCCGCGGGCACCCCTCGGGGGCAGCGCAAGGGACCGTCGTCGCCATCCAGCAGCCGCATGTCGGAGAAGTCGGCATTGCCCACACCCACGATGATGATGGACATGGGCAGGCGGGAGGCGCGCACGATGGCTGAGCGGGTCTCGGCCATGTCGCTCACCACGCCGTCCGTGAGCACCAGCAGCACGGAGTACTTCTGAGGGCAGGCAGCGGGGAGGAAGGGTAGGCTCTGTGTGCAAGGGCGTTGGCACCCGCCCCAAGCCCAGGCCCTGGCCCGGCCCCCCCCCTCCAACCCCCCCCGCCCCACCCCGGGAGGACACCCCGTGGGGCAGCGCCTGGTTGCCTGCTTCCTCTCCTCACCGTGGCTTGGCCGGTGCTCTGCTCGCGCTGAGCTGGCCCGGCCACGCGGTTGATGATGGGGGCCACGTTGGTGGGGCCATAGAGCTGGATCTGGGGTAGGCACCGGCGATAGGAGGCGATGACCCCTGAGATCTCTGTAGGTGAGGAGGTGAGGCCAGCAGAGATTAGCAGGGAGCCCTTTTTGACACCCTTAAAGCAAGGAGGTCCTTCCCTGTCTCAGTTCTGCCTGGCCCCCTAAATTCCTGACTAAATGGGCAAGTTGGATGGTCCAGGCTCTGGGAGAGGAGGCTGGGCAGATGCTGGGCCAGGGGCCCAGAGTCCCAGGTAAGACAGGAGCTGAGTGGTGGGATGGGCAGGGGGCTGTGCTCAGGAGGGTGGAGTCTGTGCCCCTGCATGGGGTGCACAGGCTGTGCAAGCTGTTTGGGGGGGCGGGGCTGGGAAAATCTCCCCTCTTACCTTCACATTCAGGGTTTTCCGGGTCAAAGTTGATAGCAAAGTCATGGGACACCTGTGAGGGTAAGGTGAGAGCAAGCAAGATGTCTTTCCTCCTACTCTCCCACCCAGATCCTCCCTTCCTCTCAAACCCAGCCTACCTCAAAGTTGGGGGGGATTCGAGCGCCAAAGCCAAACGCTGGAAACCGCTTATCACTGAGGAGAAGAAAAGGCTGTGGGGCCCATCGGGCAAGGCCTCCCTCCCCGTCTCCCTCCTCCCCAGCCTACCCTCCTCCCACCTGTCATAGTCCTGGCAGATGCCTCCCACTGCGCGCAGGGCCTGAAGGTAGTGGTTGGGCTGGCGGGGGCTGAGGCAGTGTAGGGACTGGCTGCTCCTTGGGTCCCCATTGGAGGCGGTGAAGTCGATGGCCACCTGGTGGAGGTGGGGAAAGGGTCACACTGCATCCATGAGAGCTCACAGAGAGGCTAGCCCGGAGCTAGGGTCTGTAGGGAGGACTAAGGTATATCCAGTCAAGCCCACAGGTAGCCCCGTCATGGAGTGGGGTGAGGGGTACAAGATGACGATGCTAAGGGTCCTGAGAGCCCCCCAGGAGGGGCGGGGGGGGTTGGGGCTCCTTCTGTTCACT